AGATAGGTCTTGAACTATAAAAAGTTCTCAGATTCAGTGACTGGGGGTTTGAGCTTGGTTGACACCTGGGAAACTGTCTCCAAAGCAAAGGTCCTTTGACTACAGGGCTGTGTGTGTGCTAGGTAAGCGACCTACGGCAGAGCCACACCCTAGACCCTGTCTTGGCTTCTGAGTCAGGATCTCAGGAAGTTCATCAGTCTGACCTTGAACTTGTGACCTTCCTGTCCCAGCCTTGCTAGATGTGGGATTATATACTCCCAGAGAGGGTCCTACTGAGCCTTATTTTTTTTTTTTTTTGTTTGTTTGTTTTGGTTTTTCGAGACAGGGTTTCTCTGTGTAGCTTTGCACCTTTCCTGGAACTCACTTGGTAGCCCAGGCTGGCCTCGAACTCACAGAGATCCGCCTGGCTCTGCCTCCCGAGTGCTGGGATTAAAGGCATGTGCCACCACCGCCCGGCTGAGCCTTACCTTTTTTGTTAGGCTAATCAAGAAAAGACACTTTGTAAAAAAACTTCATGGTAGTGTTGGGATTAAAGGTGTACACCACTGACGCCAGTCCAGCTCCTTACAACTTTTTTTTATTAGTTTTTGGAATTTTCTTGAGTTTTATGAGTTTCTCTCTCCAGGAGGAAATGTTTCAATCTAGAGGAAATTGCTACAAACATGTATTCACAAAATGATACCCAAGTGGCCTGTTAGGAAGCTATGGATCTGATCAAAGGGGGTTGAAAGGTTGGACAGGCAGGTGGCTGATTGCATGTACATTCCTGTAACCCTAACCCCTGGGAGGCTGAGGCAGGAGGATTGGCTGCAAGTTAAAAGCCAGTCTGGACCACATAGTTTGAGACTGCCCAGTCTCCCAAAAGCAAAACAAAACAGCTATTGGGACATTTTCACTTATTTATTTATTTATTTATTCTTAAACTTATTTATTCATTCATTCGTTCATTCATTCATTCATTTATTTATCTGTTTTTTTTTTTTGGTTTTTCGAGACAGGGTTTCTCTGTGTAGCTTTGCGCCTTTCCTGAAGCTCACTTGGTAGCCCATGCTGGCCTCGAACTCACAGAGATCCACCTGGGTCTGCCTCCCGAGTGCTGGGATTAAAGGTGTGCGCCACCGCCGCCCGGCTATTTATCTGTTTTTTTGAGATATTTATATTACACAGAGATATTTATCTCTGTGTAACAGCCCTAGCTGTCCTGGATCTCGCTCTGTAGACCAGGCTGGCCTCGAACTCACAGAGATCCGCCTGCCTCTGCCTCCGCCTGGCCATATTCACTCCTAACCGGCAGCAGGACAGCCCCCTGGTAGTCTGCACTGTGTCCTCTAGGTGTCACTGATAGGCAGTTAGATCTGTTGCAGTTTCTACAATCACAGAGTGCTATAACACAACACTGAGCAGACTCCACGGGAGAGATTTCTAGAAGAAATCTTGGGAGACAGCCGTGGCCTGTGACTTCATTACACGTATGTCTGGCAGCCGTGTGTGCTGGTGCCCACTTCATGGGTATGTGTCGACCATTTCCCGTGCAGGACAGCAGCCTGCAGTGAGCCCTCCTCCAACACTGACGAGACTCCATCTCCTGTTGTGAAAGCGTCCATCTTCACTCCGCCTGTTCTACTCAAGTTCCAGCCTGTACCCAGACCTAAAGACGATCCAGAGAATGAGCCCGGCAGTGCAGAGTCCATCCTTACCAAGAAGAGCGAGTAACCTCTTCCCTACAGACCACGCCCCAGGAATGAATAAATTTCCACAGAGGCGCATTATAGGCGAATTTTCCTTGTGTCTCGGCAGCCATTCCTAAATAACCTTTCAGAGGCTTATTATTAATTGTAAATCCTTGGTTGATAGCTCAGGCTGGTTACTAGCTAGCTCTTACATTTTAAATTAACCCATATTTCTTATCTACCCTCTGCCACATGGTGGTACCTTCTTTATTTCTTTTTTTAAGATTTATTATTTATTATGTATACAATGTTCTGCCTGAAGGCCAGAAGAGGGTGCCAGATCTCATTACAGATGGTTGTGAGCCACCATGTGGTTGCTGGGAATTGAACTCAGGACCTCTGGAAGAGCAGCCAGTGCTCTTAACTGCTGAGCCATCTCTCAGCCCCCACCTTCTTTATTTCAACACAGCACATTCATCTTGATTATCTCTGTGCCTCTCACGACTCCTGAGACTCCACCCAGCATCCTCTGTCTATCTGTCCTGACTATATTTCCTGCCTAGCTAATGACCAGTCAGCTCTTTTATTAAACCAATCAGAAGGCGCCTTGGCAAAGACACATCTTCACAGCATACAGAGAGATTACTCCATAACAGTGCATCCTGGTGCGGAGCTCCCTGGGGCTCGTACATCCTCTCTGTACCTCTATCTAAAACAAATGGGGTACAGCCAACTTGAACTCCGGGCCTAAGGCCGCAGAGAAGATGTACAGTATGTGTTTAGCCAGTGGTGGTGGTGCACGCCTTTAATCCCAGCACGTGGGAGGCAGAGGCCATGCGATGGCCCCTTCCTTGCACTCTGACAAGCAATTCCATTACGTGCACTTTGAGTGAATGGGGTGGGGAATATTGTTCTTCCCTCCGGTGACTGACCCCATTGATTTGGGTTTCTCTCTCCTTGCAAGTGAATTATGTTTTCCTTGTATGTATTCTCTAAACACAAGCCTACTCTGGTGGGTGTTTTTGCCTGGAAGAGAGTGAGTGGGTCTGTCAGTTTCCAGCTTGGTACTTCTCTGAGTTTCAAAAATTCTCATTGTCACCTCATATGCAGGCCTTAGAACCTGTTCTCCATGTGAGATGTCAGTCACTGCTGGACATTAGGATACTGAGTCATGGTTGACACCCACACTTTCCTTGGGACTGTAGATTAAAAAAATCAGAACATAGGCAAAATTACTACATAATTACAGATTTTGATAAACTATGGGAGAGATATAAGGCTGGCCAAGGAAGCTTCTCTCCTTTTCTTTTCCTTTTTTCTTTTTTTTTGAGACAAGGTCTCACTGTATATTCCCGATTGGCTGTAACTCACTACATAGACCAGGCAGAACTTGAACTCACAGAGATCCTTCAGCCTCTGCCTCCCAAGTGCTGGTATTACAGGTGTGTGCCACCATGCTGGGCTAAAAGATCTTTTGAGGTGAGTTTTATTTGGAAACCAGAAGCCATGAGCAGAGGCACAGGGGACCGTCTCTGGGCGATGGGTGGATGGTGGTCCTTGTTAATCCCACTCTATGAGAGTAAAGACCATTACCCAAGTTTTTTGCTTGAATAAGATTTATTTCCTGTCAGAACCAGTTAACTCCCTAGAGCAGGGTTTGAGAGAATAGTCCTAAACACAGGAGGAATGTTTTATTTATAGTCCCCAAAACTGCAAGGCTAGGGCGCTTCCAATGGTTTCTTGGTTACATAGGAATTTGGCTGGTTGAACATCTTATCAGGGTAGTGAATAAAAAAAAAAGAAGAAAAAAAGGAACATGGCTGCTCCTAGGTGTGGTGGAGGAAAAGTTTATTGTACATAAAAGGGAGAGCATAGCCAGAGGCAGAGACACCTGGGAGGGTCCAGAGTGACATGACCCTGAACCATACAAGAAGGCGAGGAGGAGACGGGGACCAGGTGCAGCAGCCAGGAGGCTCAAAGAGAGCAGATGAAAAGGCCAGGTAACCAAAATGGTTAGACTATATCGGGAAGGGCAGCCCAGCCCCCGGGCTGGAGAAGTTTGTGTGTGTTGGGGGGGGGGGACAGGGCATGCATGCTAGCCAGGAGGCCCCTGTGACAGGTAGGGACTGAGGGATGCAGGGGAAACCTGGTGGCAGGCATCCACTTTGATATGTTAAATAGGCACCTCAGCTGTGTGTCCCAAGTTTGAGACCTAACAGTTGGAGGTCAGGATATAGGGTGTGGAGCACATCCTTTAGCATGAAAGTGGAGATTTGCTACTGAGGACAGGGAATCTGAGAATTCTTTGATCAGACATGTAGACAAGAACTCGACATGTAGTTTGCTTTGGGAATCAGCATATAAGCGGTGTTTAAAACCACAAGCTTGGGGGGCTGGAGAGATGGTTCAGCAGTTAAGGGCACTGGATGCTCTCCCAAAGGGTCAGGTTCAATTCCCATCACCCGTAGGAGATCTGACAACCCTCACACAGACATACATGCAGGCAAAACACCAATGCACATAAAAAATAAAAACCACAAGCTTGGGCCGGAGAGATGGTTTCCTGGCTCCGCAGGTAAAAGCACTTGCTGCACAAGGCTGCAAGGAGAACCAACTCCTGAGTCTTGTCCTCTGAGCTCCACACACGTGCCATGGCACATAATTGACCACACACTCACTTTAAAAGGGAAATTCGGCCGGGCGGTGGTGGCGCATGCCTTTAATCCCAGCACTCGGGAGGCAGAGCCAGGCGGATCTCTGTGAGTTCGAGGCCAGCCTGGGCTACCAAGTGAGTTCCAGGAAAGACGCAAAGCTACACAGAGAAACGCTGTCTCAAAAAACCGAAAAAAAAAAAAAAAGGGAAATTCAGGCGTTTGTGCTTATTATACCCCTAGTCCTCTGTATCCTTAGGCAAAAACAAGCCAGAACAAGGACCTGGCCCCCAGGGAACGATCTAGCAGAGGAGATATATGGACTGGACCCGAGGGCTTTATCACTTGCCACCTGATGGGAGGACTTAGGGGCCGAAGGACAGCAAAGAAAAGGAGGTTCGTAAGCTGTGGGGTGGACACACCTTCGCAGGCGCTGGTCCAGGAGAGAGGGCGAGAGGCTTTGATACAAGGGAGGGCAGGTCTGAGCAGATCTGGCTGGCACAGCATGAGCTGGGCAATAACCAAGCAGTGCCCAGAGACGTCTCTGAGAAGTCGAAACGCAGTTTGACGGGAGACAGGAAAAGCGGACTCGACTCAGCCAGCAAGCCTCAGCCTCGCAGGGTGGCCGCGCCCAGCATGCACTCTGGGCACCTGGAAACCACAGTTCCCAGAATGCCTTATTCCAACTTCCGGGACCGGGTGAGCCGAACTCCGGAAGTAGTCGAGAAAGCGGAGGCGCCCGAGTCTCATCGTCTGCTGGTGTCGCCTTGGGTTAGTCGCCGCCATGGGGAAGCGACAACACCAGAAGGACAAGATGTAAGTTGGCAGCACCTTTGGTCCCAGCTCATCGCCATCCTGAGGGTCATCTCCTCCCGGAAGCTCAGTTCCTGCAGGCGCGGTGTCGTCCCTCGCGCGGCCTCCGCCGCCACCGGACTCGTTCCCGTCTGGGGTTTGCCCCACCTCCTCCCCTTCTGCCCCGGCCTTGGTTGTCTGCCCCGCGCAGACAGCCCACTTCGTCCTAGCTCTCGCCTCTTAGTCTACACACAGGCCACGGTTTAAGACGAGCGGGCCAAGCTCCATGTTCTCTCCATTTTCTGCGCTTGTCTCTCGAAACTGGTGTAGTCCGATGTCCTCACCCCAAAGTGCTTGCAAGGATGCCTTTCACGTCTGTATTGTCAAATCTAGTGAAGCCGGCCCTTGGTGGGATCTTAGATACGCTTTGTTTTTATCTGCGTCAGTGACCTCTCTTTTCTCGTTCCTCTTTGCTGGACTTTCTTCCCTTGTCCTAGACTTGATGGGTATCCCCTTCATTTCTGGTTCTCAGTGGGTGACCTGGTCTAGTAGTGGATCTCTACTGCTCTTAAGTCAACTCAGTAGCGCTCTCAGAGTTAGTATGCCTGAAAGGGAACTCTTGATAATTTTCACACCTTAAGCCTGCTCTATTCCCATCCTGTCCCAGTGGTTACATAGTAAGTCCCTACTTTACCATACGTAGACGTAGACGGAAGACAATTCTCAGCCTTACACACCAGTAGAAACATGCACACGGCAACCAGAACTATGTTAGGTCATGTCTGGTTCCTGCCAAAACCATCCAGCGACTTCCCACCACACTTAGGGTAAATATAGAGTACTTTCTGCGACTCAGCCACTGCCCTTGCTTCTCTGCTGCCACACGCCTCATTACACGTTTCTCTAGCGTGTCCTTTTGGGGACACATTCAGCTTCTCCTGCCCCAGTCTCAGTAAGTGCTGTTCTGTAAAGGGCCAGCCTAGCTCTTTCTCATTGTCAGATCTTCTGTAAATCCAGTTGTCTCCTTATCTTTCTGTCTGTTGTGCTTACCGTTGTGTGTCTGACACTCTGCAGAAGTGTCATGGACAGTTGTCAAGCGAGTGGCAGTTCTGTCATGATATTTCTACAGCCTCTGTCCTTAACTTGAAGGGAATTAGTAACACACCCTGTCTTCCTTAGGTACATCACCTGCGCTGAGTACACTCACTTCTATGGTGGCAGGAAGCCAGGTAAGGATGCTGGTGTTTCTGAGGAATGCATGTAGTGATCCAGAACAATGGATAAGAACCAGAGCACTGACATTACAGTGTATAACTGGACTGAATACAGAGTTCACAAAAGAGTACATATACTCAACATAGTAGAGTATCCTTACCTCTTAGTGGAGTGTTTTTAAAAATATAATTTAAGCCGGGCGGTGGTGGAGCACACCTTTAATCCCAGCACTTGGGAGGCAGAGCCAGGTGGAGATATATATATATAAAATTTAAAATGGCTTTTTCCTTAGGAAGTGCTATAAACTTTTGCTTTAGAGGAGGAAAACAGGAAATGATAATACCCAAAGTTGCCAAGGCTGTAGAAAAAAGGACATAGTCATATTTTTTTAAAATTTATTTTATGTGCATTGGTGTTTTGCCTGCATGTGTATCTGTGTGAAGGTGTCAGATCCCATGGAACTGGAGTTACAGATGGTTGTGAACTGTCATGTGGTTGCTGGGAATTGAATCCAGGACCTCTGGAAGAACAGCCAGTGCTCTTAACCACTGAGCCATCTCTTCAGCTCCCATATATATATTTTTTTTTTAAGACAGTCTTATTATGTAGCTCAGTCTGGCCTTGAACTCAGGACCCTTCTGTTTCCACCTCACCAGTGCTGGGATTATAGGCGTGAGTCACCATGCCCAGTCACAGTCACAGTCACAGTTGTGATGCTAATAAAGAATATGAGCTTTAAAAAGCCCAGCCAGGCTGGGTGTGGTGGCACATGCCTTCAATCCCAGCGCTCAGCACGCAGAGGCAGGCGGATCCCTGTGAGTTGGAGGCCAGCCTGGTCTACACATTGAGTTCCAGGACAGCTAGCGCTGTTACACAGAGAAACCCTGTCTTGAAAAACGTGTGTGTGTGTGTGTATGTATATGTATACATATATTTTATTAATTTATCTTATATTTTATTTATTTATAATAAAATAAAATTAAAAAAATTCTGTGATGGGGCCAGCTGGTGGTGACGGCGCACGTCTTTAATCTCAGCACTTGGGAGGCAGAGCCAGGCGGATCTCTGTGAGTTCGAGGCCAGCCTGGTCTATAGAGCGAGATCCAGGACAGGCACCAAAACTATACAGAGAAACCCTGTCTTGAAACAAACAAACAAACAAACAAACAAAAAGTTCTGTGATAGGGCTGGAGAGGTGGCTCAGTGGTTAAGAGCACCTACTGCTCTTCCAAACGAGCCAGGTTCAATCCCAAGTACCCATATGGCAGCTTGCAACTGTCTGTAACTCCAGTCCAGGGGATTCGACACCCTCACACAGACATATGTGCCTATAAAACACCAATATACATAAAATAAATCATTTAAAAAATTCTATGCATTAAAACAATTCTTCAAATTGTTCAGCCCATTTGAAGACACCTGCCTTTGAGCCTCTGCCTTGTGCATGCTAGGCAATGCTTTATGACTGAAGTATGTCTCCAGCCCAGGAACGTGTGTGTTTTTCTTCTATCTCTAAATTTCAAAATGCCGGAGATCAAATCCAGGGCCTTGCATATGCTAAGCAAATGCTCCACCACTGAGTATACTTACAGTCACTCTTAAGTATTTTTTTGAACAATGTAGAATTTTATTGTGTCTATGATGTAAGTGCAGGTGTAAGTATACTTTGGTACACGTGTGGAAGTCAGAGGACACCTTTATGGACTTGGCTGTCTTGGAACCTGCTTGTGGGTTCCAGGAATGGAACTCAGGCAGTCAGGCTTACGTGGCAAGAGCCTCTACCCACTGAGCCAGCTTGCTGGCCCTCTGACTGGTTTTGTTTTATTTTGCTTTGTAGCTTAGGCTAACCTATACTGTGTAGCCCAGGTAAACCTTTAACTTGAGTCTTCTGTGTCAGCTTCTTGAGTACTGGGATTTCTTAGAGGCATGGGAACCACTTGTGGTTCATGTTTTCTTTTTTTTTTTTCCCCGGAGCTGAGGACCAAACCCAGGGCCTTGAGCTTGCTAGGCAAGCGCTCTACCGCTAAATCCCCAACCCCCATGTTTTCCTTTTTAAAGATTCACTTATTTTATGTTTATGAGTGTTATGTTTGCATGTACGTGTGCACCATGTTTGTGTCTGGTGTCCCTGGAGGCCAGAAGAGGCATTGAATCCCTGGAGTAGCTCAGTGATGCACCCAAGCATACAGCATATATAAGGCCCTGGGTTTGATGTCCAGCAACACACAACGTGTGTACTTTCCCTCTTAAAACAACAGCAACAAAGAATTTAATCCATGGTAATGTAGTTTTGGTGACAGGTACACAGAGATGAAATAGTTTCCAAATAAGTTCTCTGGTTTTTATTTTATTTAAACAGATATCACACAGACAAGTTTTCGCCGCTTACCTTTTGACCACTGTAGGTAAGACTTTTACAAGGCTTCTGTTTTCTTTTGATTATCATTTCTCCAAATGTGTGTGTGTTTTAAGATAGGGTCTTTCAACTCTATAGCTGGAGCTGGCCTTGAACTCCTAATTCTCCTGTTTCTACCTCCCAAGTATTAGAATTTACAGCCTACCTTACTTGCATCTGGAGTATTTTTGCACTGACTTTTGCATAGACAGCCGATCATCCTTGATCTGAAAAAATCCAAAATTTAAAATATTCCCAAATCCACACCTTTTTGAAGCCTGAAACTCAGAAAGTTAGAATTTGGAGAATTTCAGTTTGGGGGGCTTACCATGTACTGTGTGTGTGAGCTTGACCCTTTGAGATGCATTCAGGGTTTCCTCTGTGCCTTTCTTAGATAACTTGAGCTGGGAGAAAGTGGATCCAGCCATGAGGACAGTACATGAGGACAGTACCTGGGTGTTTTCTGGTTGTCGTGTCTGGGTTTACCAGTTTTGCTTTTTAGCTTTATTCTTACCTTCTGAGTTTGAGCAGACCCTGTTGCTAAGCATATTTTATGTGGGAGAGGACAGATGCCTCAAGAGTAGCCTGTGCCTGGGGTTCCATCGAGGACGTAGCA